TCCACATCTTTCCGTGCACCTTCTTGTTCAGATGCATACACCTTGTGCTTTTCTAGTTGAGGTGAATTTATAGACTTCACAAAGGCTGCCCATTCTGGGTAAATTCCATCGACTAGGTAATAACCAGTGTTGTACTGCCTACCATTTACAGAAAACTGAACCCGAGGAGCTTCACCCTTTATCACCTCTAGAAACAAAGGGGACTGATTGAGCACGTTGATGTCATTATTAGACCCAGCAACACCAAAGAATGCATGCCAAATATGGAGGTTACGTGAAGCTACTGCTTCAAGGATGATGGTTGGGAATCCATACCGACCGGTGGTATATTGCCCCTTCCATGCTGTTGGACAATTTTCCCATCGCCAATGCATGCAATCAATGCTACCCAACATTCCAGGGAATCTACGAGACTCTCCCACTTGGAGTAGACGCTCCATGTCTTCAGCTGTAGGGCGTCGTAGGTACTCGGTGCCGAAAACATGAATCACCCCTTGCACAAAATTTTCCAAGCACTCAAGGGCAGTGCTCTCTGCAACTTTCAAATACTCATCAAGCATGTCAGCTGCAGTCCCATATGCAAGCATACGGATTGCTGCTGTGCACTTTTGCAGTGGTGAAAGCCCCAGGCGATTAGTACAGTCTACCCTCTGAGTGAAATAGAGAGACCAACTACCTAGGGCATCCACAATGCGTAGAAAAACATGTCTACGCATCTGAAATCTTCTACGAAACATTGCATCAGAATACAGAGGTTGTTCAGCAAAGTAATCAGCCACAAGTTGTTGATGAGCACCTTCGCGATTCCTGTTGATGTACTTTCTGGTTGCACTTCTACGCCTAGATGAACTACCTGCCATCTTTGCCTTCATCTTGGTAAGAATCCGGCCAGCAAGAGAGTCAAGGGCTTGTCTCTCAGCTGAGAACTGTTCTAAGGGGTCTATAGAATCATCGGATTGATCCGACATGTTTGGAGAAGTTTAGAAAGAGGTATAGAGGTTGGAGAGTTTAGAAAGAGGTACAGGGGTTGGAGAGTTTGGGCTGCTGTGCATATATAGATGCAACTATACTGGTCATGTATATATACACACACAAAGGACTAATTTGTTTTGACTACTACACTGAACTATAATAATGACACTGTGTGATAATTCACATATCATTGGTACTAGATATTGACTGATTGAATTTAGTGATACTGCATGATAATTCACATAGCATTGGTACTAGGTATTGACTGATTCTTAGTGATACTGCATGAGAATTCACATATCATTGGTACTAGATATTGACTGATTGAATTTTAGTGACACTGCATGATAATTAACATAGCATTGGTACTAGATATTGACTAGCTGTAAAAAAATAACAGTAAACAAAAATTAGAAAGTACCTTAGTTATTGTTGCTGGCCAATTTCTCCCTTAACATCTTCATGGCGAGGACATGCTCAGCTCTAACATCCTCTGTCATCTCCCTAGTGTCCATACACAAGAGTTTTTGATATGATTCCAGTAAAACAGACTCCCTCCTAAGCCTTGCTGTTTCAAACTTCTTATGAGTAATGCGTTCATGTGCCTCTAAGAAATCTTCCTGTCTTTTTTTTGTTGCCGCTTCAATGTCAATGAATTTTTTCAAGTCGTCATCTAAATTGACATCATCATCATTTTTTACTCTTCCTTTACTATTGCGTTGTTTCTTAGCTTGATTTGTCCCTATAGGACGTTCCTTCTCGCCTACATCTGGGATTCCTTTATATTATACTTTAAGCATAGATCAATCACTGGGAGCTAAGTATATATGAAAGCCAAAGATTTACACCAAGAAATTTACATAAAAAATGAAACTTACCAATTTGTAGGTGTGGCTGCTGAAGGTGTGACCTGTGGCAAAGGTCCAGGATACCATGTTGCAACATAAGCCATGAATATACAATTAATTTCAGACGAGGGCAACATAAGCCATGAAGATTACAGAGGATCTGGAACAAACTCTCGAACTTGCATTGAGTAATATCGTACTGTATTGCATATATTATTAGCAATAATCCCATAAACTGAGTCCCTTCTGATCTAATTGCATCCAATTTTTTATTTTTATTTTTGTGGGTTTTATAAATCTATTAATTATGGCCAATGATTAAACCTTTTAAATAATGACAAGCATATGTCTGAAATTTTATTTGTTGAAAGTCTAATCATCTCAATGAGGCCATATCATTAGCAATAATACTAATGACAAGCAGTGCGTGTCGTGAAGCAGCAGGCTCGGCAGCTCGGCCGCGTCGCGGCGGCCGGAAGCTCATGCTAAAATGGATCTACTACTGTTGCCGCTCTAGCTAACATGGATCTATTGAGTACTCTTGTATAAAGAAATAAATCCCCAAGTGGATTACCTGGTTGGCCTCCTAGATTAGGACCAGTAGCAGGAATGCGAGCAGATGCATGAAGTGTAGGAGCAGGAGCAGATCCGAATTGATATGCAGGAGCAGTAGTCAAAGCAGATCCGTCCTCATCTGGTGGCGGAGCCATTTGTCGATAGGTTCGCCGGCTCATCACCGGTAGCCGCGACTTCTTCCGCGCCGCACCCTATCCGCCTCCACGCTGCGCCCTCTCCGCTGCCTCTATTGGATACGATTCGATCTAGGGTTCAGAGTGGGGAAGAACAAATGAAAAGGGAAGGATATGGTGACGGACTGACCTTGCTTTTGCAGTTTCAACAAATAAATCAGAGGAGATGAGGCGGGATTGAGGAGGATTTTCGCGCGCAGCGGATCCGAGTGCGATAGAAAACGCGAGTGGAAAAGCCAGTAGCCGGCGATTAGGCTAACGATTTGAGGCATCGTACTGTGTGCGAGATAAGCGACGGGGGAGTCGCCGGCTCGATTTTTTTTGCACGTTCTCTTTCCTCCACATAAGATGAATGCTGACCTGTACACCCAAATAGCTAGCTGACTCACCTTGTTGGAGACGCCCTTAATGGGAAGAATTATATTTTTACCTCTACAAGAGGTAAAAATATATTTGCGGGCCTATGTGTAATGGAATTTGATAAAAATATGGAATTTCAAAAACTGAGGAGGAGGAGGCCCGCAAATCCCATTACTAGCGCTATGTGTAATGATTATATTTTTATCAAATTTCTCAAAATGGAATTGAACATTGAACTAATCAAGCTACTGGTTTGATGGTTCAGTTGTCGGACCATTAGTTGATAAAAAGCCACAAGCGTTATGGTGTGCAACGACCTCGGCCTGGCTTGAACCACCCGAATTTACTTCTTTTTCTGTGTCTAAGCATATTAGGCAATCTCTATTATCTTTCACCTCTACAAGGATGTAATGGGAAGAATTAAAATCTAGATTTGCATTGAGAGATAATGCTCCCTTACCCACGGTGGGCACATGTTAATATGCTCACCATTTATGTGCATGCACACATTGGTGATATATATTTTTTGAATATATTAACATCACCAATGTGTGCATGCCACATAAGCGGTGGACATATTAACATGTGCCCACCGTGGGTATGTGAGCATTACTCTTGCATTGAGTAGTGGCCCTAAGGTTTTCTAGCTCGAAAAATCATGTAGTTCTACAGATCGGGGTGCACTAACAATTACTCACTACTACAATTCTCTCAAGTCTCTTTGGGATGAATACATCACTTATAGGGCAATTTTTCGTTGTACTTGTGGTGCTTTCAACACTTGCACTTGCAATATTTTTCAATCTATGTTGTCTGCTCAACAACAAGATGTTGTCATGAAGTTTCTTGTAGGCCTAAATGATTCATTTTCATCTCTAAGAAGCCATTTCCTTCTGTCAAACCCTTACCCCTCTCTCCAAAGTATATTCCCTGCTGTTACAAAATGAGAGCCAAAAAACTTTACAAAATCCTTCAAAATCTATCGACTCTTGCTATGCTTGCCAAAACCATGTAACCTCCTCACGTCTTACGAAAAATCCATCCCAACAAACCACTCAACCTAAAAAGAAATATAAATGTGACCACTATGGCTACGATCATCTTATTGATAGGTGTTACCGAGTGATAGGATACCCTGCTAACTGGATAGGACCTAAAGGACCTAAAATTCATGATAAATTTTCTTCTAAAGCCAATTTTGTATTCACAAATGACATTCCTACTCCTGCTGTTAATTCCATGTTTCATGAGTTCTTATTTCATGAGTTCTTAGATTTTTAAAAAGCTGTGTGAGCAAAAACAAGGTATTGAATCTATTCCAAATCTACTACTCACTCTATTGATCACTCTGACAATCTCACTAGTAAGACAAACTCTTTCATTGTCTTTTCCAAACAAATTTTAACAAAAACACTTGGATTTTAGACACATGTGCAACAAATCAGGCCTATTTTAAAAACTCTAGCAACCAAATCAAACCTATTTTTAATTTCTTTTGAGCGCAACAAAAGTTCTTTCATTTTAGGCCAATTAGGATTGCAAGAAATATATCATGCTTGCCAAATTTTTGAACTAAAATCCTCGCATTAACAATGTTTTTTCATATTTCTTGAACCACCAATGAAACCAGCTGGTAAGAAGAGTTTGACTTACCTTCGACCCTTCAGCCTCTCCAAAAGCTAAAGCATCCTGTAAATATTCTTTTCCAACTCATTCTCAAAAAAATCTCAACACTATAATTCTAGTTCCTCGTACATGTCAACCACATACTGTTAAAAAAGCCTACTATACGTCGACTCCAGAAGCTCCTTATCAGTTGGGTCTTCGTTGTAATTATGTATTTTTCGTTTAATGAAAGTCTTTCGGTTTAGTCCTTATAGTAATTAGGTTTTTTTTTTTCAATGAAAGTCTATTGTTCCAAAAAAAAAAAAGGGTGTATAAGGGTTCTACAATCTCAGAGGAAATTTGAGAACAAAAAATCACATCTCAAGTACAGTTTCTCCTTTTTTCCAGATCTGCACGTTCTTGTTGGATAAAACAATACACCAATGCAAATTCATGACGAACAGAGATGGTTTTTAAAATTCTACAAAGTCCGTCAGATCCCACACACAAGCCCCTCGTCTCTCAGCTCTTGCGATGTTATGTCAAAATCGTCAATCAGCTTCAAGTTCAGCTCCAAACTTCTCCAGTCTATCAGTCTCTTCATCCAAATCCCGTATTAAAGCATGGTTTACAGATCCATCATCTATGCTTGCTTGTATCTGCTTTCCACCAAACCTGAGGAAGGCCAGATTAAATGCATAAAGTATATGAAATGGACTTATATAATACTCCATTGTATTTTGAAAACCATTCTCATTAAACCATATAAAAAATTGGCAATAACATCAGATAAGGTAAAAATATTATTTGATTGTTTGATCAAATATTTTCCAACATCCCACAAAAGAGTCTCCATGCCATCATGGCTTTGAGTAATTAATATTTCACATGGATAATAACTATAATCGTAAAAAAGGGAAAGGTAGAAAGAGTTCAAAGATTACCATCGGCCATTCATCAATTCTATGCACTTATGAGCATCCTTGCTATCCTTATACTTCACCAACACAACACCCTGCGGGTTATTCTCACAGACCTAAAAAAAACAATAGAAGATCGGAATTGGATGTAAAAGTAATACTTGTATGTGAACATTTTTTAACTTAATTAGTGGCATAATAGTAATAAAGTGACTACACCTTGACAGAATCCAAGGGGCCAAGTTTGCCACACTCGTCACGTACATCCTCCTCTAATTCGGATCGCAAATTCTCATCAGCCTACAAAGTGTAAGGTCATGGTTAAAGGATATCATACTACAGACAAAATATGGAAGAGCCGTAATTCCCGCAGTATGAATGTATTAGAACTATACATTATCTACTCATTGAAGAAATCCATACGATTAAAGAATCTGCTAAGGTATCTTTCAATATTATTGACACAGATACTGACTGAAGATTGTTAATAAATTAATTTCATTGAATTCATCACATCAACAAAAATACTCTTACCACTTAATGTGTTTGCTATTATGTGTTGAATAATAATCCATAGTAAATCACTAACTAAACAAATCATGCATTTTGTATTACCCTAAGGTCTGCAGGGGTGAACATGTAGCGAAGAATAACAGTTGCTGGAATCGACACCTTTGCATCATCACGGCCACCTGATAATTAAGTATTGGACAAACATTAAAAGCCACATCAAGCAAACTAACAATATGAAGTGTAAATTGAGGTTTTCAGGAAATTTAAAAAAAAAAAATAAAATAGCCAAACCAACGAAACACGCATTAAAGGATCTTTAACATATACCCAGATACAAAGATATTCAGATGTGCATCAATCATATGGAAGTACAAAAATATTCAAGAGCACAGAAGCACTACTACATTTTAAAGGTGCAGGGAAGTAATAGCATACAGTTCTCCACAAGCTTATAGAACTCAATAGCCACAGACAGTTTCATGGAAGGTTATTGAGGAAGAGAAAAGAAAAAAAGAAAACCGGTTACACTTGATTAATCAGTGAAAGTTCATAAGGTGCTTTTGGAAACCAATAAGGCGGGCTATCCCCATGCAGAAATGACATACCCCATCCCAGCATTTTCTGCTCGACCTTCTGATGCTTTCTCTTCTTATTCTTGTCCACTTGCTTCGATACAAACTTGTCACCTGGGGATTAAAGACAGTCGAGATAACTCAAAATAAAAGGAAAAATAGGGAACACCACACAGGTAGCACGATGTTGAAATGACCTTTCATTTATGTCCAAAAAGAAATCAAAAGAGGAACCGAGTTGTCATGTTTGCAATTTCAACCACGAATATCAACAATTTAAAAAGTTCGACTAAACTTAACACAGGAATAATACTAGTAGCAAAGTTTCGTACGTTACCTTTTTGCTCAAACTTAGCTTCTGAAACTGTCATGGGAATCATACCATCAGGCCTAAGAGGTGCCCCATCCAAAATCTGAATAGCTAGAGGTACAGATGCTTGCTAGATAACACCCAAAAAATAGATCACTAGTTAATAAAGACAGGGAGTGTATACACAGAAAGAAAGAAAAGAGAACATTGATAAGCAAGAGTATGATCATAATGCAATCATAACTATAAAATAATCAAGATTATTCAACTTTCTAGATAACACCTAAAGAATAGATCTATAGTTAATAAAGACAGGGAGCGTAAAAACTTAAAGAAAGAAAATAAAACATTGATTAAGCAACAGTATGATCATAATGCAGTCATAACTATAACATATAATCACAATTATTCAACTTGTTGCCGTTTTACTCTAAGAAAGTAACATTACCTTAAGATAAGTTACTAGAGCATCACCCTTCTTTCTTCCAGTTTTTTTGTCTACATAAATCTTCACCCGAGGTCTTTTTGTTTCAGGGTCCTAAAGAAAAGCCGTTATTAAATGCAATAGATAAAAAGTTAAAAGGAGAAGAAAAAAAGGGACAGAATGTTATATCCATAAACCGTGCTAATACAACATTCAATATCCGAAATGGAGCATAATTTCTAAGGAGTGAGGGCAGCGATATATAGGGTTAAATCATAAAAGAGTAAATACAGTATGGAACATGTCTCTGTATGGAGCTTGACCACCAAAAGCATCAACAAACATAATCCCATACATTGTCAAATAATAATCAGAAATAGTAACATTTTAATCCAACTAGAGGAAATGGATATCCAAGATATTACGTACCTCCTTTATAATACCACACTTGGAGAAAACTTCAACTATCTGCATCACACTCCAATTCAGTTTCATTCTCAATAGACGATGGACATTAAAGAAAGTGAGCACCTTATATCCAAACAAGGGTCATATGCCACCCAAGTGAACCAGTTAAGCTAAAGAACAACAAATTAATATATTAAACCACCAACCTCTTCACTAGTAACGTCCTCAGGCAAGCCGGTGACATAAACATGAGTATTTACTTTTAATTCAAACCAAGAATCAGGAGGTTTGTTGGCTTCCTAAAAGAAATAAAAGGGATATATTCAGTATATGTTTATGACACAACTTTAAAAACTATTGCTTAGAAACCTTAGATCAATGTAATAATTTCATGAGAGACCACTAGGCAAAAGAGCTTCAACAACAAACATATAACAAAAAATGGGAGAGGGACCAACCTTCTTATCCGCACCTTTCTTATCATCTGAATTATCTGGCAACTTCCGTTTGTTGTTTGGCTTTTCTTTATCAGCTTCAACAGCATCTTTAACCTCTTTTTTCACTGTCAACTCATCAGTATTCATAGTTGGAAAAACTTCTTCTTCTTGCACAAAAGTCATATCTTCAGGAGCATACTCATCTTTCGGAGGTATGTCTTCCTGTTTAAGTAACAACCAGAAGACTCGGGTGATGGAGGGGACTCATAAAACATTATACATCAAAGAGACTTGTATATGTCATAAACAGGAAGAAAAATAAGAGAACACATCACACACACGCGCACACACACACACATCAGAAATACAAAAAGAGAAGGAAAAAAAAAGTAATGAGTATTTTTGAATCGTCAGCAACCAGACAAAAACTATATGCACTAAAAGAGATATATGATGAAATGTTTAGAAAAATCCAATACTTTACAAATTGAAACAAAAAACAAAGAACTTCATAAAGCAAGTCATATGCTACAAAGTCCCACAGTATAATTCAAAACGAAATAGCGTATTTCGCACCAACCTGAGGTACCCAAGCTTTAAGAGTTCGATCCCACTTATACGTAGTTCCATCATCATCGGTGAATTCTTCTTCACCCTCAGGTGGCGTCGTTGGCCTTTCATTGTCAACATTTACCTTAACCTCAGCCTCTGCCTCCGCTTCTGCCTCAGTAACTTCTCTTTGCCACTTTTTGAACTCATCTTCCTCTTTAGAGGTGTCAGGCACTACAAAATCATTTTCAATCACATGATATATCAACAACAAAGGTTAAGACACAACCTTTCTTTTACCACAGGACTTAGTTGTCTTTCTATGAATTCACCGTTGAGTTATCTTCCCTTTTACAACTTGCACGTTTAAAAGGGCGTACATTCTAAGTTTATATAAACCTCAGTTGGTTATTTATTAGTAGGTAAAACCACCTAAGTAGTTTTCTAAATTAAACAAAAACCTTAATTGTGAAAAACATCACAAACCCAAATCTGGTGCAATTTCCTGTTGAGCATTAATAGACAACCCAGGAACTGAAAATAGCGGCTGCCAGTCACTGCACCCTTCCGACCATACAAGTGTGTTCTGGGTCAAGTATCCACTTGAATAATGCTCTGCCCAAGCGAATTCATCATGCTTTAGTCACACAATTTTCATTATCACGAAAGAGCATGTCATACATATAAACTGATCGTTCACCCACGCCAAGTCTACATCTTAGCTAGTAAAATTGGAATCTAACAATGGAAAATAAGGAAAACAAGAATAAACAAGCAACAGAAAACTAACTGAAGAAGAAACATTAAAAGCTAACGGCTAAGAATGAAACTACAAAGGCAAAGAAAACCCATAATCAGCATCCAGAAAATTGAACAGATAACAGCAACACTCACCCTGCAACTCAGAGGTAGTGTAAGGACCTATAAGTTGTTGGTCCAATCCAAGAATATACCAACCCACACTAGTACTCGCTTCTGTAATTTCACCAAAAAGAAAAAGAATATCAAATTTGTTACGCTCATACCATGGAAGTAAAAGGTAAAGAATGTAACAACACATAACAGTCTTAGATTTATCATTAAAACATTATTGAGGGGGAAAATTAGAAACATGATCGACTGAAAATGGGGCATTTCGAAACATATAATCATCTCATAAGACAGACAATAACGCAATCTAAGCAAACAAAATTTTCATCAAAGCAAGCATGCACGGACCGGAGATTTGAGGTTGCGACGACATCGTTCCGGCGTTCTTCTGGTAGTTTCGCGTTCTTTTTTTCCCCTTTGCTCGTCGGCAAATACTCGACGAGTAGATAGCTGTGAGTATATAGCTTTGGGCTAATTTGACCCGTTTAAGATACTGACGGGTCCTGGTGTAAGCTTCTTCTTTGGGCCTCTTACTAAAATGTATGATTAGAAACCCAATGCAGTTTTTATTGTGGGCTTGGATTTTTGTTACTGTGTGACAATAAGACTTGATTTTTCAACTTTTTGATTTGACGGTATTCTCAATATAAGACATACTTTTACATTCTACTTTTCAATTTAAGACTCCAAATAACTTTATATTTTAGTATAATTATGTAAACCATGATACTTCTTTTTATAAAATATATATTTTTTTAATAATTAGAAATATTTTTAAGTAAAATTACTTTAATAATAAAATTAATTCATTTAAGATAAATTTATTTTGAATACATGTAACTAATTTAGATTAATTTTCTTACGAAGCTATTTTATAAATATATATATCATACTTTTATTGACATTAATTTTATATATTTTTAACTATTCCAAAAATATAAATTTTATTCACAAATAGTTTTTTCTATATTTTAATTTTAAAAGAAATATAAAATTATTATTTTTAAATAGTTTATATTTTAATGTTATCACATGTTTTGATTAAAATATTTTTTAGTTTAAAAAAAAAAATCATCAAACTTTTGCATAGAGTTAAATTATTCAATAAATATTTTATTAGGTAATTTTACTAAAAATATGAAAAAAAATACTAAGATATTTAATATTTTTCATTATAAGTATTTAAATAATAAATTTAAAAAAAAAAGTATTTTGGTTTACATTATTGAGAATACAAAGTGATTTGAAGTCTAAAATTGGAAAGCAGAATGTAAAAGTAGGCCTTATATTGAGAATAACTTAAAATTGGAACATTCAAATAAAAAAGCTAAAAATTCAAGTATTGTTGTGACACAATAACAAAAATTCAAGCCTTACAATAGAATTTTCCCTATATGGTATCCCCACAAATTAGGTTATTTTAGATATCGACTATAATTTTTGACATATTTTTCAAATATATGAGCATTTAAAAATAATATTCATTTTACATAAAAAAAAATAAGTTTTAAGCAAATTGCGAACTTTTTCTTCTCCAAATTTATGTTTAGTTTATTTGTAGTTTATTATTAGTTTATGCGTTAATGTTATGCTCCGAGCCAACTTCCTGAGCGCCGCCATGTTGACATGGCCGAAGATTTCATGTTAGCGCCATGCCATCTCGTCGCCGCGCCCGCGCACTTTCAAGCACAATGAACTCGACATGAATCAAGTCTTCCTCTACAGACTCCCGAACAACATGATATATCACTTGAATGTGCTTGCTCTAATACCACTTGTAAGAACCTCGCCGGAGAGACAACACCCGATTGCCAGCGAGATCACTGCCAAAACGCAAGACACAAAAGAAACTCACGCAAACACAATAGAACATGATCTTGTTTGGTGCTGTTAAATTGTCAAGTTTTCTTGTGTTATTATATTGCTTAAATAGAGGAATTCAAGAAATTAATTAAGGTCCACAAATTAAGATTACATGAAAATTATAATTATGTCAATATTCACAACTAATTTAGATGCGCGAGAATGATTCATGTAACATAATATTTCATATAATTGAGTATTGTTTAATTATAATATTGAAGAGTGTTAGGAGTTAAAAGTTAAATTTGAGTTTACATTTTATATCCAAGCACCCAGTAACGCTCATTTACCCACAGTTTATGTGACATACATACATAGATTAGTGATATATTTTTTTGAACATATTAACATCACAAATGTGTGCATGTCACTTAAGCTGTGGCATATTAACATGTGTCCGCCATGAGCACGCAACATTACTGTCCAAGCACCACCAAAGTGATTTGAGAGTTTGTACAAAGAAACAAATAAGAATCGTGCAGAAGGAATAGTAAATGAAGAACAATGGGAAGCAATGCAAAATCAACTGCGATGAGCCAAGGCTTGGAGAAGAAGAAGAAGAAGAAGAAGAAGAAGAAGATGGACGAGCAATGGAGTTCCGTTTACTCCTCCAAACAGTCCCTTAATCGGCTTCACTTTCCCCCAAACTTCACCTTTGGTGCTGCCACATCCGCTTATCAGGTACCAATCCATTTTTGACCATATTTTGTGCGATCAAATATTTTTATCCTCAAAGCCTTTCAGAAAGTTAATCAGTTCCTCAAATTGATTATTGCCATTAAAGGCAAAGTATTATTTGCCAAGATTATATGCCAAATTTTACGTAGTATATCATAGGTTGAAGGCGCTTCTAATGAGGATGGCAGAGGCCCTAGCATTTGGGATGCTTTTTGCCGTGTTCCGGGTAAATTCAAGTATTATATTTTTCAATATATGTTATGTGAAGCTATATATATTTCTCTTGGTGGTCATATATAGTTCATTATGAATTTAATTCGATACCCCTGTAGGCAAGATTATGGATGGGAGCAATGGGGATGTCTCGGTGGACCAGTATCATCGCTACAAGGTAACCACGATCATCTGTCACTCTCGGCCTTAGAATTTTAGAATGTTATTGGGTTGAAGTTTTCCCGAGCTACTATTTTCAATTCTTTATTGATATAGGCTATGTTTGGTAAAACTAGCTGATAAGCTAGCTTATAAGCGATTTTCGAGCTTATAAATCATAGTTTATGATTTATAGCGGAAAAGATAGCTTATATGATAAAAGTATTTGGTAAATTAGTTGAAATAAAAATTTTAACTAGCTTATTTGAAAAATTACCCAAAGAAACTTATGAGATAAGCTCGAGCATCCTACCAAACGAAGCTTATTTGAATTTAGGAAGCTTATAAGCTAACCAAATAAGTTGTAAGCTAGGTTATTTGGTGACCAAACATAGCCACAAATCTCATTAATTTGGCTTATTTTCCAACGATTTTGGAGTACATATATATAGTTGTTTTTTCTCTATTTCTATTCTTTATTATTTTTATTTGTTAATATATTTTTCATTATCTGATCTGATTCCAGTTATAGTTATAAACCTTTCCTTCAACTCCATCATTCATATCGAACTAGTGAATACAAATGCAGACTTTCACAATGTTTTAACTTTTGTCTGGTTCTGGTTTTAGGTCAAACAACACTGATTCTGGGGTCTCTTCTTATTGGTTTGCTAATATTATTTATTCTTGTCTGCAGGAAGACATTGACCTGATGGCCAACTTGGGATTTAAAGCTTATCGATTTTCAATATCATGGAGCCGCATTTTTCCTGGTAAAATTAATATGCGAAAACTTTGTTTGTGCCATGCACAAGTTTCTCAATTACACATTTACACTAGAGCTTAGTGTGGACTGAAGCAAGTTACAGCCACAAAGACATATTTTAGCTAATCAACTCACAACTACTTTATTATGTTGTAAATGCATAAAGTTAAATGAATAATAATGAATAAAAATGATATATTATTGATGTCATGACTCATTAGTCACAACCATTATGCTTGTTCACTCTAGCAATGTTGCTCCAAAATTTCCTGGCATGTATGGAGGTAAGAATTATTGTTAATTAAATTACTTATTCTACTTTTTCCTTAGAAACTCTATTTTCGGGTGTGTTGAATGATATTTAACAAAGCTTTAATTGTATCAATAGATGGTTTGGGGACCAAAGTCAATGCCGATGGGATAAGTTATTACAACAATGTCATCAATGCACTTATAGACAAAGGCATGGTTCTTTTTCTATATATCTCAATCATGTTAATCGTGTATGAGTATTTTCATGTGCATTAACCAACTGTTATTGTGGCTTTCAGGTCTTGAACCATATGCAACATTGTACCATTGGGATCTTCCTCTATATCTTCATGAGTCATTTGGGGGTTGGTTGAATGAACAAATTGTGTAAGTTTCTTAGTATTGAGCCATATGTGACAATGTGCCATTATTAGGTGTATCTCATTTTTTCCATATATTAGTCTATAATTTATTTATTTATTTTTTATCATTCATGCATATATTAAATCAAATAATCCTTTTATAATTTTTTATTTTTCTTTGCTTATATTGAGTTTAAAAAATGCAAGACAAGCAACTTGTTATATGCAGGAAATACTTTGCAATATATGCAGAAACTTGTTTCTCTAGTTTCGGTGATAGAGTGAAGAACTGGATAACATTAAACGAGCCCCATCAGACTTCCGTGAATGGTTATTGTACTGGAGTTTATGCACCTGGCAGAACTGAGCATTCTTCAACTGAACCTTACATAGTTGCTCATCACCAGCTTCTCGCTCATGCGGAAGCTGTTTCAATTTATAATGAGAAATACAAGGTATACTTTATTACGAAAATACTCTGTACTTCAAACTACATTTCTAATCTCTCTCTCTCTCTCTGTGTGTGTGTGTGTGTATGTGTGTGCGAGTGGGTGTGTCTTCCTTTTTGGAAACCACATGTTCTCTCTTAATGATTTGGTTTCATATGAGTGAGTGGCAAAATATTTCAATTCCTTCGGTTGAGTTGATAAGTGATAATATGACCTAAGGTACAAACTTCTATTACCCTTGCTGTGAGGTGAGGAGATTTTTTTTTATTTTATTTATTTATTTATATATTTTTTTTGTGTGTGTGGAGCGGAATTATGGGAGCTTTTTCCAAGGGCTCCAACTAGCATGGAGCTTGGTTATCGTCGAGTAATTGCGGAAGTTTACTTTTTATGGGATTGGCGAAAATGTTAGTCTGAATTTCATGCACAACATCATAATGATTATTTCATATTGGTGGAGAAGGATGTAATAAATAAACTATTTTTTACATTATTCTGCAGTTTATGTGCAAGTAGGGTTAATAGATACATTTATGCCTCTGATGTTTATATTGTCAGGATAAGCAAAGAGGGCAAATAGGGATAGTTGTGGACTGTGTATGGTCAGAGCCTTTGACGGATAGAGTAGAAGATATAAATGCTGCAGCCAGGCTTCTTGATTTTCAGCTCGGATGGTAATTTCCTTCTTTCATTAATCATTATTCATTAGTTAATATAAAGATAAATAAATTTTCTTAACCCGCGATCTTGTTTATGATAACTCTCTTAATTTCGGTTATTTCCCTCCCTAAACGTTACTTGATTCAGGAAGTTTCAAGATCTTACCACTTTTGAACCACTCGATGAAAAGTACTTTCATGTCTTTGGCCATTTGTCTTTATGCAGTAGTTGACAAACTCACTATGTTTGGCTTCATTCTTGTTTGCTATGTTGTTGCACTATATATACTTTTGTTTTATAGAATTATTTCTTTTGACCAAGTTTATTTTAAATAGATAGCAGAAGACTATCATTAGTGTGGTTGTCTATTGAATTATATATTACATTTATTCTCTTTTCTCTGAGTTTTTTTTCTTTGTTTTCTTTTTCTCAAGTATCATATTTATTTGTATTTGTTATCTGTCCATAGTTAATCTTCTGGATATGTCAGAGACACACATCAAAATTTTTTTTATAAGATAAATGGTTCAGTTATGTACTTAAGACTCAAACTCCGGATAGCATTTTTAATTCAACGAATAGTTTATTTCTCTAATATAGGTACTTGGATCCAATTTACCGGGGAGATTATCCTGAAATAATGCGTGAAAAACTTGGAGACTGCCTGCCAAAGTTCTCTGAGAGAGATAAAAACTTGCTTAAGAACTCAACAGACTTTGTTGGTTTAAATCATTACACAACTAGATATGTTCGTCACGCAGTAAAAAATGACCTTGAAGACAGTGATTACAATAAAGTCCAGGAAGCAGAAAGAATAGGTATAGAATACCCATACTTTTGTTTATCATTTTTTATTCTTTATTTTTTTTTACCTTCTTCCCTTTTTTTCTTTTGGTTTTATTTATATTTTTGGTACTCTAACATACCAAAATTCAAATATTGTTGGACAGAACATTATATAGTGACTAAAGGTTTATCTGAACGTTTTTACCATGATAATCTTACTGTTTTGTTTTGTTCTGTTACATCTGTTGTAGCCGAATGGGAAGGTGGAGAGATGATTGGCGAGAAGGTGGGGATTTAACTATTTTACAATACTTTTGCATTCTCTTGTTGATTAGCATAAATATTTAATCACAATTGTACAAATGTGTTTATGTTCATGCAGGCAGCATCACCATGGCTTTACTTGGTTCCATGGGGTCTCTGGAAACTTCTTAATTACATTTCTACGAGATACAACAATCCCCCAATATATGTAACTGAAAATGGTATGTCATTATTTCAAGAAAAACAAGGAGGATGAATTCCATTATAATGAAAATACGAAAACATACATCTTATAGAGATTTGATCCTGCTTTCCCGTATTTTTCTAACGGCAAAAGTGCATTTTTAGGCATGTTCGTTTAACGTCATAGTAATTTTAGTCCCAAAGTTCTAACTTTTTGCCTTTTGGTTTGTACGGACTGAAATTGCAGCAAAATATTAAATTACATGACTGAAATTGCAATAAAATTTTAAATTACATGACTGAAATTGCTAATAAAAAATCATTGAATTTGGACATTTGTTGTATTTCAGTCCTCAAAGGACTGAAATTGCAACAAAATATTAAATCACAAAGATGAAATGTTAGAATCTAGGGATTAAAATTGCTATGGCGTTAAACAAGCAGGACAAAAAATGCAATTTAACCCATTTCTAATAGAAGTATTTTACAGTTAAACCCGTCAAACCCCTCAACTGAACGAATAGTTTAGGATCAATTATTGCTCTCTCACGATATTCTTTTTAGCTGTAAATCAATACAGTTTTTAGTTTCTTACTTTCGCTACCAACAGGTATGGATGATGAAGATGATTCCAAGTCTCCGCTGCATGCGATGCTCGATGATAAATTAAGAGTTACTTATTACAAGGGCTACCTTGCTGCTGTTCATCAAGCAATTATGTGTGTAAAAGTTTTCACTATAAATTCACATTCTAGCATTTATTTCATTTTCAGTAGGCAAAATTGTATCTTAATACACCACATTTCATGTTTTTGCAATTTAATCACCACATTTATAATTTAGCAATTTAATACACCACCTTTACCATATTTGCCAATCATGAGTGTCAGCTGTTACAGAAATTTGACCGTATTAAATTGCTAAATTACAAAGGTGTTGATTAAATTGCAAAAACACGAAAAGTGGTGTATTAATATGCAATTTTGCCTTTTCAGTAAAATGTTCTTTTTTTTTCTTTTCTTTTTATATGTAATATAATATGAACAGGGATGGAGCTGATGTGAGAGGCTATTTTGCGTGGTCTTTGCTGGACAACTTTGAGTGGGAGC